CCACACCTTCGCGAATGCGAGAGCGACATCGTGGATACGAAGAGTAATTTAGCTGCCCTTCCTAGATACCTTACGCAGATGCGAGGACTCGCTCGCGAACGCGATGAAAAAATGCCTACAACAGAACACCAGAAATCTGCTATCTTCCAAAGTCCAAAAGTGATCTGTTAAGCATCCGAAACTCACCCGAGGCCCCCGGGACCTCAACCAAACATACCAACAAGTCCTAATACACCATACGAACTTAGTCGAACTCTCAAATCACATAAAAAAAAAATGCTAAAATCACGAATCACCTTCCAATTCAAACTTAAAGAACTTGAAACTTTAAAATTCTACCACCGATGTTGAAACCTATCAAACCACGTCCGATTGACCCCAAATTTTGCATGCAAGTCACATTCTATATTACGAACCTATTCCATCTTCCAGAATCGGATTCCGACCCTGATATCAAAAATTCCACTACCGGCCCAAAACTCCAAAAATTCGAATTTCGCCATTTCAAGCCTAAATGAGCTACGGATCTCCAAAACACAGTCCGGACATACCCCTAAATCCAAAATTACCTAATGGAGCTAACGGAACCTCCGGAATTCCATTCCGGAGTTGTCTTCACACAGGTTCGACTACGGTCCAAATCCTAAGGCTTAAGCTCTCATTTAGGGACTAGGTGTCCCAAAACACTCCGAAACTCAAAACCAATCATACCGGCAAGTCACAATAGCAGAAATAGATATGGGAAAAGCAGTTAATAGGAGATCAGGGCTATTACTCTCAAAACGACTGGTCGGGTCGTTACATTAATAGTTTCAAATCTTAAGGGTATTTCCCTCACACAAAATTAGGCAAGCCACTTACCTCGAGTCAAGCTCAATTAATCGGTCACAATGCACGAATATCTAGCTCCAAATGGTCCAAATCTAGCCAAAAGCAATTACATATCATAAATAGAACCATAATAGACTCATCTAATTAATGAAATCAACATTTTAAACAAACCTATTTCATTTTGACCATGATTTTACTTCAAGTTTTACTGCATTTGTCTCCTTATAATTGAGTATAAGTCACTATATGGAAGGAAGGTACATCCATTTGTAAGTTGAGTTTAATTATATACAATGATTATTTATTTCAAGTGTATATTTTTCTTCTTCATTTCTCTCATTTATTTGTTGTTCCTTTGTTTAGAATGTTGAATCTGACTCAAAAGGATCTTGTTGCATACCTAATCGGAAAGAAAATAGTAGATTCCGAAAAAGCAAGCGAGCTTAAATAATAACTAGAAATCATACACTATAAAGGCAAAATTCATGAATTATAATTCATTTGAAGAATTAAGTTCAATTTTGTGTTCTTTCTATTGTTAAAACATCGGAGCATCCAATGCATTGTAGGGTATAGAAATTAAGGGAAAGACTCAAAGACGTTTGTGGGGTTTGCTTTAAGTCTTTTTCTTTCTACTATTAATCGAAATTCACTAGTAATAAATGTTTTCATTTTTTGAATGCGGAAAAATTAAATTAAAAAAAGAAATTGAATGTTTCCACTTAATTTCTATCAACTTAATTTCTATCAACTTTCCCCTACAGTGCCTAAGAAATTCTTTTATTATGGTTATGCAAAAGAGGAACTAACTAAGAAATATTTAGGGAAACTTCTGTTTTCTGACTCTTCTGTAGGGTTGTAAATTACTTGACCTAAAAATAATACTTCTTCCGTCCTAATTTATGTAATATTGTTTAACTAGACATAAAGCTTAACGGGAGAAATAATGACTTTTGAAATATACGGTCTAAAACAAGCATTAAACATTGGTGTGACTATAATTTATCTCATTAAGATTAAATGAGTATTTTAAAGTTTAATTATTTTTAAATATAACAAAATAATATTATTTTTTAAATCGACAAAAAAAAAGTATGTTACACTTCTCTTCATATTTTAAGAGTTTCATTCGATTTCGATACCTAAAACCCAAAAGTTCAAATCAAATAGGTTTAAATTAAATGTAGGAACTGGTCTCATATTGAAAGGCCGCGATGATATTTCAAAACATTGATAAGAATAAAAATGAGTTCCAAATTATTATTTTTTAATGGAAGAATTAGTAATGTAAAGGACTATAAGTATAGATCAGTATACTCAGACAAAACCGAGATAGGAGAAAGACTACTCGAAAGTTTAACTCGGAAAAGATAGTAATTATCCGTTGAGTTTAAATAATGTCTGCAATTTTGAGTTGTTACTGGCTAGTCATATTATATTTTAAATATGAAATATCTTATAATGTTTATTGTTTGTTTCTAAATTCATTATGTGAGTAATTAGCTAATGCATTGATAAACTCAATAATAATGAATAAAGTGCATCTGAGTTTTTATTTAAAAACGTTTTACAAAGTAGAAAAAAAAAGGTGTGACGTTTAGAGGCGGCATCATCGTAAGTTTGTTAGTTTACTTTTTTCTTATTTGTTTTATTTTTGCTTTTCTAATTGTTTTAGTAGCCATAAATAATAGCATGATCCCAACCATTAAATACTATTTGTATAGGTGGCATGAATCAAATGTATCATTGAATATAAATGGATAAATTTGTACTGGAGCTAATCCGCTCCCGACTTGTTTTATACCACATGTCTTAAAAACATTATTTCTATTTTAATTTGATGTTTGTAAAAATACCATCACATAAATTGTGATTGATGAAATAATTGAATTTTGACCTATATTGTCAATTCATTTGTCGATAATGTGAAAGCGACAAAGAAAAAGACTATTAAGATTTCAAAAGAAGAGGACCCACAAACAAGGCAAGTTAATTCGGTAATTTATATAATAACAATAAAAAAAATCGAAAACCAATTTCCTAGAACAACTCGCAAACCGTGAACTATGTTGCATGCATTTATACTTCCTTGTCAGTAAGGTCTTGTTTAATTTTATTCGATTAAATTTATGAATATTGTTTCAGTTTGTAATGGCCTACAATTTCTAAAGCAATTTGCAAAATTTCTATTTCACTTAAGATATGCAAATTTAGAGGTGGATCCACTAATTTGATGATTACAAGTGTCACTACTTTTAATGCAATTGACCACTATCAACGAGTTTGAATATGGAGTGTACATTTCTTCGTTTTTATCCATTTTAGATTAATTCAGTTCGACCCATTCTAAATAATTCAATTCAATTTCAAAGAAATTTTTCGCTATTCAAATTCGATTGAATAATGTGATGAAAAAATATAAAATTTTAAATTAAGAAATACATCACTTCAATCTGCATATATAGTATTAATAAACGAGTTTAATTTTGTAGATGTGCAATATAAATTACACTGTGGAATTTATTTACATTATAAGACTAAACATTATATACAAAAACGATATCTAAGAAATAACTTCGGAAACTTCTCTTCTACTTCGGTCAACAACTTTATGTAAGGTATTGTAAATGAGTTTGACCCAAGAATTAAGTGTGCGTTTGGACATAAGAACTGTGAAATTCTGGAAAAACAATTTCAAGAGAAAATAACATTTGAAAATTAGAATTGTATTTGGATATGAACACAATGTGCGGCTATTTTTGTTATTTTTTTTGGAGTGATTTAAAGTATAAAATTGAAAATTTTGGAAATTTTTAAATTTGCGGAAAATTTCGAAATACTTCAACTGAAATTGAAAACTTTCATGGCATTCGGAAAAAAGTAAAACAAAATTCGAAAAAAAGATATCTAAGAAATATGTACAAGAATTAAGTTTCCAACCAAAAACCACAAAGCCTAAGAAATATCAAGGGAAACTTTCATTTTATTTCGTTTAACCCTACTGAAGGGTTGTAGTTGACTTGACCCAAAAACCATAAGACCAATTCTTTCCCTTTACTTTCCATTTTAAATTTCATGTTTGTAAAAATATCATCACATAAATTGAGACAGATGAAATAAATAAATTTTGACCAATTCTTTCAATTCACTTTCCGATAATATGAAAGCGATTCAAAGAAAAAGACTTTTGAGATGCAAAAGAAGAGAACCCTGCAAATAACATGTAGAGTATTTCTACTCAATTTCTATCCAGGGAAATTGTATATACTATCAATACGAAAAAACTCAAAAGTAATTTCCTAGAACAACTCACAAACTCTGAGCTATATTGCATGCATTTGTACTTCCTTTTCAATAAGCTCTTGTTTAATCTTATTCGATTATATTTATGAATATTGCTTCAGTTTGTAATGGCCTAAAATTCCTAAAAGAATTTGCAAAATTCCTATTTCATCACTCTACAAGAAAATATACTCAAAGGTCATGTATGATCTGCAAATTCAAAGGTAGATACAGGATTTGATGGTACGGGTACCACTACTTTAAATGCAAATCGACCACTAGTGATGAGATTGAATATGGGTGGTCATTTCGTCAGCTTGATCTATTTTAAATTAATTCAATTCAATTTTTAAAAAAAGATCTCGATTAAATTAAATGATTAATAAAATAAAATTTAAAATAGTTATAAAATTTTAAATTAAGAAATACACAACTTCAATCTACATATAGTATTAATAGGCGTGTTTAACTTTTGTATGTACAGTGTGAAGTTTATTTAGCCTATCAGACTAAATTATGTGGGCGTTTAGACATAACAATTGTGAAATTCTGAAGAAAAAACAAAATGAAAACAAATTTCAAGTAAAAATAGTATTTGGAAATTAGAGTTGTGTTTAGAGATTGAATATAATTTTGTGAGTGATTTGAAGTGAAAATTTTGAAAATATATTTTTCGGAGTTTTTAAAATTTCTGAAAAAATTTCGGAATTTAATTTCAAGTAAAATTTAAAATTTTAATGGTCAAACACTTGTTACTAAATCAAAGTAAAACAAAAATCGGAAAAGGTGAAATTATGGCCAAACGGACCCCTTGTTTCCTGCCAGAAACCACAAAATCTAAGAAGTATCTAAGTGAAACTTCCATTTTATTTCGTTGAAGGATTGTAGTTGACTTGCCTTCCACAAAATAAGACCTCTGCTTATATGTAGCTCTGCTTAGCTACTTTCCCTTTACTAACAAATCATCCCTTAATTCTTGCATTCTCATCAACCCTTAATTCACCAAATCAAATGGATACTCAATTAGTTAGAGGAGAATTATCTACGTCTTCTCACTTCTCTTATGAAGTATTCCTGAGTTTTAGAGGTGAAGACACCCGGAAAACATTCACTGGTCATCTTTATTCCAAATTGGATAATGTTGGAGTCAAAACCTTCATTGACGATGAGGAATTGAGAAAGGGTGATGTGATTTCAAGAGAATTAGAGAAAGCAATTGAAGGGTCAAGAATTTCCATTGTAGTATTGTCGAGAAATTATGCTTCCTCTAGTTGGTGTCTAAATGAACTAGTTAAAATTCTTGAATGCAAAGAGAAATTAAAGCAGACGGTTTTGCCTATTTTCTATGATGTTCATCCTTCTGAGGTACGAAAGCAAATTGGGTTATTTGGTGAAGCTTTGGCTAAACACAAGGAACGACCATTTGGAGCTCAAATGGTGGAGAAATGGAGAGCTGCACTTACTGAAGCTGCAAATTTATCTGGATGGGATTTGCAAAATGTTGCTGACGGGTACATTTTCTTGATTCAACTATATAATTTCATTTGTTATTTGTTCAATTGTTTATAGGATGTGATACTAACTGTGCAAAAGAGTTTAAAAGTTATGTGCATTGACAGTATCGAAATATTTACACTATCAATATATATATAACTTAAATTATTTGCTATCGATTTTGATTTGTCCGTCAAATATTTTCAAATATCAAAGTTTTATTTACTGGAGTAGTATTTCTTTTAATTTTTTTGTTGTTGCTAAAAAACCTGTAGGCATGAATCAAAGTTTATTGAAAACNTATACAGCAAGTCCTACAAGAGGTCAACCAGACACCTCTAGATGTTGCTTGGCACCCAGTTGGAGTAGATTCTCGTGTCAAAGATATAGAGTTGTTATTGCAAAATGAATGTGAAGATGAAGTTCGCATGATTGGTATTCACGGAGTTGGTGGCATAGGGAAAACAACTCTGGCAAAAGCTATCTACAATCGAATGTTTCGACTCTTCGATAGTAGTTGCTTCCTTTCAGATGTTAGATCAGAAGCTGAAGAATTTGGTCTTGTCAAGCTACAAGAGAAACTTCTTCAACAAGTTCTCAAAAATAAGGACATCAAAGTTGGCAGTGTTGCTCAAGGCATCAATCTAATCAAAGCAAGACTCGAGTCAA